TTCGTGCTACTCTGTGCACATCCTAGCACCAAGGCGTTCCCGTAGTAGCCGTCGGGTATGCCCGGTTTCACCCGGTTCAGCACGTCGATGCTGAAGAGAATCTTCAGGATCTGGTTCGACGGAAAAGCCATCGCTCTGGCCCAGCTTCTCCATACGTGAGCAGCCAGGACCTCAAAGGACGTATAGGACGAGGACTCGCTGACTGGACTCATTGACCGAGCCACGTTCTTGAGCTCGTCCAAGCGTCTTTTGTGGAACTTAATGGAGGTTGGTTTGAGATCGCTGGAAACCCGCGTCATGAAGTCGCAAAGATCGGGCACCCGGTTGAACTCGGTGAGGATCGTCGGGCAGGTTCGATCAGGACTTTCGGGTGATGGGCTGAGAAGATGACGGTCCCAAACGGGTGTCGGCCGGAGTGGCGGGCATTTCCCAGAAGCCAACTCAGCGAAATAACTGAGAAACTGAACGAGGCCAGCACCGTCGCAGACACAATGGTTGATCCCTACACCGACGGCTGCGGCTCCGTCCTTGAGCCACGTGAGCTGAACCACGAGCGGCGGTGATCCGTCAAGAACGTCAGGTACATGTAGCTACAAGAATTTTCTCCAGGAAGTCACCGTCTGGGGGGCTTTATCGAAGTCGCTGACTGTGTAACGGTCAGAAAAGGCCTCGATGAACACCGCGCCCTGGGCCCGGCACACGACCTCGAGGCCCGATCCACCGGAGCAAGGCCTGACCCTGCCGGCAAATGGGTAGTACGGGACCAAAGCTTGAGCTAATGCGGCTTTGAGACGAGCCGAGGTGGCGGCGCGGTCCAAGCCGGGGCAGGGTGTACCAAGAGACACTCGGCAGTAAAACGAAGGAAGAGTTGAGAATCGAGAGCGGAAAGAGGGAGAACACAAGTTGGGGTTGGATCAGGAGTTATAACGACAGCTTCAACGCTTCCCATATGTTCTGTCTGAATTTACAAGAAAATATGATCAAATTAATTAGGAGGAAGCGGCTGTGATGTGTGCGTTTGTGTTGTGGTGTGCTTTTTATTAAGAAGAAAGGGTGGGCAGTGCCCAGAAGGCTCATCCACGTGGTTGCGAGACAGTTAAAAAGTTCTTATAAAATATCAAAATTATCCTCAATAAATGTTGTTAGTTCAAACTATTTGTTTAATTAGTTAAAAAAAATTATAATTTGTTGGGGATATATGTAGGATAAAAAAATTATTACTTTAAACAAAACATGTTTTATATTTTAATTTAAGTAATTATGAGGATTCTGCCATTGAAGGAGACATCTTTGAGCCTGTACGTCGCTTTGGCTTGGCTTGAAGTCGTTGATGCCAGCTTCTCGAAGCTCTCTTGCAGAGGGAATGATGATTTCATCTTCTTTGTATTTGTTTGATTTGATTTATTTGGGAATAATGGATTCGTGTTAAAAGAGGGGTTTTCCGTAGAGATCTAAGATGTGTAAGCATTTGCCCAAGCTGCTGAGGATCGGAATGCTAGGGCATAAGAACTGGAGGACTAGCTTGTTCAATAACTCTGGAATCCTATAATAATGATCATCTGTGATGTGGTCAATCAAACAAATAAATAAAAACACTCAATGAAAAACCACAAGACATAGCACAGTTGGTTCTTTAAATATTTAGTTAGAGGTTCGATTCCTAGCGATATGTATGAAAAAGGTCTCCTGGCTAATAGTAAAGCCCTTTCGGGAAGTCTACGGTGCGAGAATATTAGTCACTGCTACTGGCAGTGAATACATTAGGCTCAAAAAAAAACACACGAACTGAAAATGTATAGAGATTATAAATCACTTAATTTCTTTATTTCAACCAAGGGACTAAAACAATTTCAAGGATTATAAGATTCCTATAAATAGCTGCTTGATTCCTACAAATCACTAGCCATTCAAGAATTTTTTTCATGGAGTTTTTAGCAAAATTTTACATAGCTTCTATGAACTTTATATTGTCTATACACAATCTCTTTGAACTTTGAAACTTTGCAATGATTCCCTCAAAACTCTTGTGCAAATAATTCCCCAACTAGTACTTTTGGTCATTACTTATATGCATATATCTTAAATAGGAGGCTTGCTTACATATTCAGAGTTTGAGGGTACAAATATATAACTTAGGGGGTTGACAATTGATGGTTGGATTTACGTATACAATGTTAAATGTCTAGATGGATTTATTATTATTAAGTTTTAAGGGTTAAGGAGATGATTGTACATGCATGTTCCTTCCTAGTCACTTCTTTTTAGTTAACTTTTGATTAGACTTCGTCATGAGTTTGAAATTTTACCCAAATCTGGCAGCTAGCTGATCTCAACCAAAGAAATTGAATGATTCCAAAAGTAAAATAATAATAAAAATTAGTTCATTGAAAACAAAACCAAAATACTTGTTCTATGTAACAGTATAATTGAACTCAGATAAACCCAAAACCCAGCATCCAAAATCTACCGTGTAAATATTTCTTAAGTTTAATCAGATAAATTCAGTAAGAATTTATTGAATTAGAAAAGTTTCAAGTTAGTTTGTATTTCATCCTGTCCTTAATATACGATTTAAATAATTAATTTGTGAACATTAAAAAAATTATTTAAAGTGTTTAGTTCTAGCAAATATGTATTTCTTTTCCTGTAATACCCATTCTAATAATATGCATTGTACGTAATTATCCTGATTGAAGTCCTCTTATAATTTTGGTGGATAAAGTGAATTAATATATTATATTTAGGACCAAAATAAACCTCTTATCTACTTTTTATATTTAGAATTGGAGGTGTATAAAGCTCAACTAATATATTTAGCAGTTATTGTATGCTCATCAATTTCTTTCATTCCTCATCCTTCACATGTTGTTAGATAAAAATATAACAGGATTTCTTTGATTCATTCTTGATGCCTTTGCATGCAAAGAATGAACGAGAGGATTCACTACAAAAAAATAGACTTTAGGCGACGACTTTCGGCGGCGACAAAAAAAGTCGCCGCTGAAACCAAGACTTTCAGCGGCGACAAAAGTGTCGCCGCCGAAAGTGGACCTTCAGCGGCGACTTTTTTTGTCGCCGCTGAAAGTTCGCCATTGAAACCTAGACTTTTAGCGGCGACAAAAGTGTCGCCACCGAAAGTGGACTAAAGTCGCCGCTAAAAGTTCGCCATTGAAACCAAGACTTTCAGCGGCGACAAAAGTGTCGCCGCTGAAAGTATAATATAATAATATATATTTTATTTTACAATATTAATAAACAAATTCAATCTGGCTCAGCGGCAAGAAGGTTGGACACGAAAGGAGGCGGTCACGAGTTCGAACCTGGAAGAAGACACATTTAAGGTGAAAATATTTAGACGATGACGTGGCGAGGAGGAGTGACGTGGCAATGACGTGGAGGTGGCTAGTGATGATGTGGCGGTCGGCGGTGATGACGTGGCCGCCGATGGCGATGACGTGGAGGTCGACGGTGATGACGTGGCGGCCGGAGACGATGACGTGGCACCGGCGATAATGACGTGGCATTAGTAATAGGCATTACTTTCTGCGGCGACATTTGTCGCCGCTGAAAAGTCCTTCAGCGGCGACAAAAAAGTCACCGCTGAAAAGTCTTTCGGCGGCGACAAGAGTGTCGCCGCCAAAAGTGTTTTCTGCGGCGACTTTTTTGTCGCCGCTGAAGGACTTTTCAACGGCGACAAATGTCGCCGCAGAAAGTGTTTTGTCGCCGCTGAAACTTCTAAAAGTCGCCGCTGAAAGTATCTTTTAACGACGACATTTTAGTCGCCACTGAAAGTTTTCAGCCACGGTTGCTACGGCAACAACTTTTCAGCGGCGACTTGTCGCCGCAAAAAAACTTTCTGCGGCGACTTTTGTACTTTCAGCGGCGACAAAAGTCGCCGCTGAAAGTCAATTTTTTTGTAGTGATTAAAGAAAGAATATGATCAGGGAGAATGGTGGAGTTGAATCATATTCAAGCGAGTCGTTTTGACATAAAACGAGAAAAATGATAGTACCTGCTGTTCTTATATAACAGTTGGATAACTAATTTGTAAATATTAAGAAAATCAATTAATCTAGTTATTTATAATAAATAGATATTATCTTTCTTAAAATATCTTTGTTAATAATGTGTATTAAAATAATTATTGCAATCACTATAAATATTAGTTGGGGGCAAAATAGATTAATATGATAGACAAAGTTGATTGAAGTTTTATATTTAGCATTAAATTGAATCTTTAATTAATTCTTGTATTAAGAACTACAAGTAGTACTAATTAACTCCTCTACTAAATATAACACCTAGTTAAAGTTGACTATGATTAAAGAAAGAAAATGACTAGGGAGAACGGTGGAGTTGAATCATATCCAAGCAAGTCGTTTTGACATAAAACGAGGGAAAAAAAAAAAATACTTCTTCTATAATCTTTAATACTACCTCCGATTCTTAATATAAGACCTTGTTTAACTTTTATTTTAATCCTAAATATAAGACCCTGATCCACTTTGTCTCTTATATTTATGCAACTTTTTTCAAGCTAGTCTTTCTAATAATGATAGTTCTAACTAATACGATTGATTAGTAAGGATATTTTAGAAAATATAATACCTATTTATTACAAATAACTAACTTAACTTCTTTCTTGATCTCCTCAAATTAGTCAACTATTATAATTAGGACCGGAAGTAGTATAAGATTTATTTAACTAATTTAATTAGATTAAGAAAGTTAGAGAAATTAGTTAATTATAATAAAGATGACATAATTTTCCTAAAACACCTTAATAATCTTTTTTAATATCCTTCCTCTCTCTCCTACTTAATTATGGTTGAAAAAGTATCAATAAGAGTGACTTGGGAAAAACTGATAAATATAGGAAATAATTCTTACACTCAGTGTTAATATTAACTCAATAATTAGGTAATTAAGTACCCAGTAACTAGAAAGATAAAATGCACAGCTGAGCAGAAAAAAGTCAACGTAGGATCGTACAAACTCACTCATAAACGGGAAGCGGCCGAAGCGGTGAGGAAGTATTGGAACTGGTCAACGGCAGAGGTGGGGACAGCCATCATTACCCTCAGAGCATCCCTCTCACCATATGCCGGCGAAAGCGAACAATAACGACCGACGTAAATGGGTGCCACGTGGATTAGCCTCCCCAACCCAAAGTCAACCCTTTCAGCACCCAGCCCTGCCCACTGAGTCACTATTAGCACTCCGACCGAGTATGGATTTTCCCTCGACTCGGACACCCACTTTATCATCTTCCTCACGTACTCGCTGTCCACCCTCTCCTTTGCACTCCTCACCAAGGCCGACCCGTACCCAAGACCCTTCTGCACCAGATCCTTCGTGCTACTCTGTGCACATCCTAGCACCAAGGCGTTCCCGTAGTAGCCGTCGGGTATGCCCGGTTTCACCCGGTTCCGCACGTCGATGCTGAAGAGAATCTTCAGGATCTGGTTCGACGGAAAAGCCATCGCTCTGGCCCAGCTTCTCCATACGTGAGCAGCCAGGACCTCAAAGGACGTGTAGGACGACGACTCGCTGACTGGACTCATTGACCGAGCCACGTGCTTGAGCTCGTCCAAGCGTCTTTTGTCGAACTTAATGGAGGTTGGTTTGAGATCGCTGGAAACCAGCGTCATGAAGTCGCAAAGATCGGGCACCCGGTTGAACTCGGTGAGGATCACTGGGCAGGCCCGATCAGGACTTTCGGGTGATGGGTTGAGAAGATGACGGTTCCAAACGGGTGTGGGCTGGAGTGCCGGGCATTTCCCAGAAGCCAGCTCAGCGAAATAACTGAGAAATTGGACGAGGCCACCACCGTCGCAGACACAATGGTTGATCCCTACACCGACGGCTGTGGCTCCGTCGTTGAGCCACGTGAATTGAACCACGAGCGGCGGTGATCCGTCGAGAACGTCAGGTACATTTAGGGACAAGAATTTTCTCCAGGAAGTCACCGTCCGGGGGGCTTTATCGAAGTCGCGGACTGTGTAACGGTCAGAAAAGGCCTCGATGAACACCGCGCCCTGGGCCCGGCACACTACCTCGAGGCCCGATCCACCGGAGCAAGGCCTGACCCTGCTGGCAAATGGGTAGTACGGGACCAAAGCTTGAGCTAATGCGGCTTTGAGACGAGCCGAGGTGGCGGCGCGGTCCAAGCCGGGGCAGGGCGTGTAGACCAAGAGACACTCAGCAGTAAAACGAAGGAAGAGCTGAGAATCGAGAGCGGAAAGAGGGAGAACACAAGTTGGGGTTGGATCAGAAGGAGTTACAACGACAGCTTCAAGGCTTCCCATGTGTTCTGTCTGAATTTACAAGAAAATATGATCAAATTAATTGGAAGGAAGTGGCTGTGATGTGTGTGTTTGTGTTGCGGTGTGCTTTTTATCAAGAAGAAAGGGTGGCCAGTGGCCAGAAGGCCCATCCACGTGGTTGCGTGATATGCCAAAATGCATTAATTGGCTTATTGTATTAGTAGTGTTTGTCTTATATATAAAGCATAAAAACATGTACTTAAAGCTTATCCAAATAGTTTTTTAGAATATACTAGAGTCCAAAATATAAGAGATAGTTGGATATTTAATTTAGTTCTAAATATGATATTACAATTTATTTTGTCTATTATATTTATATATTTTTTATCAAAGCAGTTTCTATAGTAATTGCACATATTAAAGAGTTCTTATTAAAAGGTAACTATAATGCACATGATTAATAAGAATATTTTAGGAAAAATAATACTTATTTATTACAAATAATTAATTTAAATAATTTTATTAATATTCGTAAATTAGTTATCTAGATCTTATGTTAAAGACTAAAGGTAGTATTACGTACTTCCAGTTCTTTTTATAAGATCCAGATAGCCAAATTATGTGGTCTAAGAAATCTATTAATATTAATTAAAAATAATAAATATGTAAGTAATGTATCTTTTTCCCCAGATAAGTCCTTATTTATAAGAGGGTATGTGCGAGAGATCTGTAGCGAAAAAAATAAAAATGAATGTATGAGAAAATATTTATAATGTAATTAATTAAGAATAAAATTAGTAACATTATCTCAAACTGATTTTTATAAAAATAGAAGGATCGGAGGGAGTATATGCCGAACGTGGGAATCTTGAGCGTTTTGAATTATAATGTTCTTTGGCAAAAAAAAAAAAAAAGAATTATAAATGTTCGAGCATAACTAAATTTTAAATGATTTCAAAGACGCAAAACATGAAATGCTAATTAATTATCATATGATGAGCTTGTTCTTCATCCAATGAACTACGGTTGAAATTAAACGCAAGGAGAATCACATTTTTTAAAAAAATCAGTTTGAGTGCTTATCATCTTAAACTCATCAAATTTGTACTGTTCAGATCTAATCTGGACAGTTCAGATTTAATATTTTTAAATAAAAATTACCATTTTTGAAAAAAAGAAGATAATTAAGATATTATCTTTATTTTATATTTTATATCCAGTAAAATGATTTTTTTAAAAATTAGTAAAAAAATAAATCTAGATTATCTAAAACAGATCTGGACGATTTAGATTTAACGAGCTTATGAGGACCCAAACTCATTCTTTCTTGGGGGAAGCAATGATAGATCAACCACTAAACATCTGCTGACAAATTAATTAATTATATAATAACACTCTTAATCACATGAAGCAACTGTTTTTTTCTTTTTCCTGTTGGCGGTGCCATCCAGCACTTTCTTAAATAATTAAGCTTCAAGCATGCATTAATTCGTTTAATTCTACTCCTCTGGTTCTTAATATAAGGCCCATTGAACTAATTTGATTAGATTAAGGAAGTTAGATAAGTTAATTAATTATAAGAAATGTGACACGTTTTTCCTAAAATACTATAATTATCTTTTTTAATACCTCCTCTTCGTCTTCTACTTGACTATGGTTGATGGAATATCCATAGGGGTAATTTAGAGAAAACTAATAAATATGAGAAATGGAACTTATATGTAGAACCAAAACCAACTCAATAATTGAGTCATATATTAAGGATCGGAGGAGTATTATTTTTATTCGCTCCCTCAAGTACACCTCGTTAAATTCATTATTAATTATTTCGTTGGTCTTATTTATAAGGTTCTTTCAGTATATTTCACATAGAGCAAAGAAAATTTTAAAATGCATCAACTTTCTATTAAAATATAACAATTTTTTAATTTTACTCATATTTAATATATATTTATCAAAATAAATAACTACCTACATTATAATAAATGAAGGACAAAATAATATATTCACGCTGAAAATTTAATAAAATGACTTATAAATAGAACCAAAAGAAACTTTCTCTCTCTACCCTATTTATAGGTAACAAAATTTCCTATGTCATTTATGTACACACACAAACTTCTTTGCTTGACATTAAGAACAAAGACCAAATGAAAAAATTGTGTCCTGTTGCGCCTATGATCCGAGCTTAGTGGCTACGTGGACGAGCTTATTATAGTAATTTCCATCCATGTGGGCGTTGTGTGTCCATCATATATCTATAGAGAAAAATAGTTAAATCAGGTTGTTTATATTTATGATATTAATTTTTCCAATTACACACAACTATGTGTCTTATTTTTAAAATAATATCATTTAATTATAAATCGTCATGCTTAAAAATATGACGCATAGTTACATGTGATTAGAGAACTTTATATGATGAATATAAAAAAACTTGATGTAAATATTATACATATATACACACTACTATATTCTTACTATAAGATATACTTAACTATTTTAGGTAAATTAAAAAAAAGTGGTTGAATTAATTATTTCTCAAAAATATGTGTTTGTTTCCTTAATATATCTTCTTACTACAAAGTCTGATTTTAACGTTCAATTCTCCACGCTATTAACAGCTGGATCATATAAACATATAAGATTGGGGTTGTTATTATGATTATTTATCTACTTTTTCTCCACTTGGTGATAATAGTTTAATGAGTAGTGGTTAATTAGGTGGTTCGTTGGTTTAATCAACAGTACTATATTGTTCTCTAGCTTCCTACGATACTTGCATGGTCACCTGCTAACGCCAGTATCATATTCAAGACCGCTTCTGAGGCAGGACCCTTCACGTTCGTGCGTTCGTGCGTATAGGTTTCCTGCCATTACGATGATAAACAAATATTATAAATAAATCTTTCAATGATATATATATATATGGAAAATACTTAAATTATTTATATCCATTATATCAAGTTCTCTAATTACATATAGTCATATGTTTTATTTTTTTCCTATATGGGTTTATAATTAAATGTTCGGAAATGGAACACACAATTCTGTGTAATTAGAGAACTTGATATAATGAATATTAAAAACTTGACCGAAATATAGTCCCGTATATATAATATGTTTGATTTAAAATATTAAGTGGAGACAAAGTCTTTCTTTTTTTGAAATAAACATGTTGAGAATCTTGTCGACTTACCAACAAGAGTTGGTTCAGTTAGTAAAAGAGTCAGCTCATAACTCACAAAGTTGTAAGTTTGAATCCCGCTCTGATATGAGGACCTTGTTAATAGACAATCTGTAAGTATTTTTATAAGTATTTATTAAGTCTGGACGCATGTCCTAACTCTAGTGAGTCTCCGGATTCCAACTTACTTAAACTTTTTTGTATATAGAAAAAATCGTATTGACTCAACAATTAAATTTAAAACTTGATATAAGTTTATATATATTTATATCATATGTTCGTAGAACGTAACTTCATGCTACAACTGCTTATGTTAAGCTCATCTGTCCACATTATTTAGGTTTGCCTTGAATTTATTTGGGCAGAGATATTAAATTATTAAAGGACATTTAAATTTTAACTCCACGCCGTATCCCGGGTGTTTTATTTTTAATAAATCTATTTAACTGTGCTAGGTTATAGCCCCCAAATTGCATAGGCTATCTATATCTACAAGAATCATTGTTATTAAGGGACAATTTTAACAATTAAGTTGGATGAAGATACACTCAGCACCTTAAACTATTTTTAAAAGTGCATCTGGTACTCTAAATTATTTAGTGGTGAAATTTTGCCTTTCATCTAATAGAATTATAGCAATCTCAGCCAAAACCTAACACCTCTTTAGCCCCATTATCTCCTCCCACAACTGGCCGTTTGCTTTTTTAGTTTTTAAACGACACGTCATCTTTAGAATGGGAGGAGGTGATTTTTTATGGGTGCACTGTTCATTGTCGTTTTCGTGGGTGTTCAATGGGAGAGGGGATCAGAGGATGAGGTCTTAACTTCATAAGCTTCCAGTCAACTAAGGTATTCTGACCAATTTAGTATATACCACTTCCGGTCCTAATTATAAGATTTCGTTTGCAGTCTATAAATAAGGTTTTATAATTAGAACAAAAGGTAGTATCTTTTTATGTATTGTACTTGAGAAAGCCAATATGATATCACTTTAGTAGAAATCGAAAAAGTGAATTTGAAACAAAACCATGCTTTCCCAGGTTGCTCAAGTGAAGAAAGCAAAAACTTGAGAATATTAAATAGTTGTTCCCTAGATATAATTATAACAGCTTACAACCGAAACAAATTTTGAAGAGCTCAAAGGACAATTATAAAGCCAACACCTTTCTTCATGGTCACTCAGAAATAGAGATATAGGAAGACTGAGAGAGGTGAACAGTGCTCCTCAATTGGGCCTCCATGAAGAAGACGATGAGCAGTGCTCCCACCATCAATTCAATCACCTCCTCTGACGTTCAGAAGATTACGTGTCATTAAAAAAAGGGACAAATGGCTAACTATTACAGGAAATAATGGAGTTAAAGAGGTGTTAGGTTTTGGAGGTGTTAGGTTTTGGATGAGATTGCTCCAATTTTATTAGATGAGGGGCAAAATTACACTACAAAATAATTTAGGTTGTTGGATGCACCTTCAAAAATAGTTCCAGATGCTAGGTACACACTTACCTTTATTTTAATATGACCAATTTAACTCTCAGTTTATTCCGATCCGACCAACTAACCATTGAACCATTATCTCAATATGTTTACTGTTTTTTTTTAATTCTTTGAAATTTTTCCCACAATACCAATACCACTAGATAATAGGCCAACCGAACAACATAATAATTTTTTAAAAAAATTATTATTGCTACGCAGCTCAACATTTGGCCACATATTACAAATTATATGAAGCAAGATAATGGATTTAGCACCACCAAATTTGCATATTAAATTGATTCTACAAAGTTATCAATAGAAAAAATAGAGCTTGACCATTAGCCTATTTCGACTTGTGAGACATATTACCTCTAGTTCTAATTATAAGACCTCATTTATAGTTTACAAACGAAGTCTTATAATTAGAATTGGAGGTAGTATTATGTAGCCAGTCATATGATGCAAACACACAGACAATCATCTAGAGATCCACATGTGATAGCGGTGTTAAATCCTACTCCCCCTATACTTTTTAATTTTATAAGAACCTTAGACCCCATTACGTAAAATAAAAAGTTATTTAAAGATAATAAATGAATAGAAATTGAAAATTCTTTATCCAAAAATCTTTATTTATGGGAGAAAGATAATATAACAAAGAGAATAAGAAAATTAGTATAATAAAGAGAATTATGAAAGAGAGATAATGTGTGATGGATAGAGATGATTGTTTGAAAAATGAGGATAATAAATATATTAAGTATTAAAATAAGTAATTAACAGGAACAAATAGGAAATTTACTGCAAAAATTTAAGACAACTTGTAAATGTTACTTATATTTAGGGGCAAGAGAGAAATAATAATTGTTGCTTATAAAAAAAAACGGAGGGAGTATTACTTTCTGGGTTTTGCATAGTAAATAAATATGCATAACTGAAACATATTAAAATCCATAAAGTCAATTTCATAAACAATAATAATAAGCGATTATTTTATTAACCATCCAAAGGAATTAAAAACACCAATGGATCATACTCCTTAACATATATGAAGAAATAAATTAAACCTCCAATATTAATAATGTTTTAAGCATGGAGGTCATGAAAATTAGAATTTAATAATATTAGTCCCTTTTAAAATAACTATTCACCACAACATTAAAACCTTCAACGGAAAGAGATTAGACCCAGCAATAATGGGAAATAAATTACTCATTTAAAATTTCTCTCCTTTCATTAAACTGGCGACATGGAATTGGATTCCCTCATTTACTTCTATTTTATTAATTTAATATATGAACTTCAATTCTAAAATGAACCTACCTCCAAATTTTCTACAAAATAGCCATTAAAATCCTCAATATGCCCATTCATGCGTTGCCTGTGGCGCAAGCCATGCTTAATACCCTGGTGGTCACCTTTGTCACGAATTACTCTACAAGTGTCTTGGAGGTCTTGAGTGAATCCAGTTTCAAAAGTAAATTTGGCACCGGTGTTCATTACCATCATGGTCCACTTGAGCATGTAACATATGCTCCATAAGTCTGTTTCATGCATAAATATTGTCGGATTCACTGCTACAACACGTGCTTTCATCGGGTTCATATCTACTACCAGTTAAGATCATCACACCAGGTGACCATTTGCCTAGGTCACAATGTGAGTTAGAATTCAACCCTCAAATCATCCTTGGCCTCTACAATCGCCAAATGTTCATCCCTTGTCATCTTAATTTTGCCACAGAGACGAGGAGCAGCATATTTCAACCAATTTTTTTATTATAAGGTCTCAAATAATATCCTAAAATGAGGTGCAAATAACAAACATGAGACCCAACTCAAACTTCCTATCACACAAGAAGAAAATAATAACTTGAATGGAATTATCAAATTAAGACAAAGCTTAGAGGCCTCCCTCTAATAACTCTGCCGCTGATGAATGCCAAAACAATTGACATAGAATAACTCCCAAGAGTGTTGGTGGCAGCACGTGAAGTCTCCAACAGCAAATCTTCTAACTCCTCTATAATATTATACAAATCCTGTTGACAGTAGCATCTATAGAAAATCAGTAAGTCCGAGTCTTGTCCTATAGACACTATCTTTAAAAGCTATTTCATAACTACTTGCAAAACAAAAAGCGATACTCCCCAAGATCAAACAAATTCTTCCTGCAAAATTAGAGTGAACAGAACAATGAAAGGTAAAAGAACTCAGCCTGGTAGAATACCAGAGGAGGAAAGAAAGTGTTGTCTGAAAGGTGTACTATGAACTCCAATCTCATGCCCCTTTTTATAAGCTATGGATCACAATACTATTTAGCACATTTAAGGGCAATTAACTCATCAATAAATAGTTATGAACACAGCTAAGTGGGTGTTTTACATAGTTATTAACTTGCTTAATGATTATTAAAGTTGCCAGTTGCAAACATTGATGAGGCATGATGGTAATTAAAATAAAAGATTAATTAAATAGATATTTTCTATAAACCCAGTACCACATTTGACTCATATACATGGGGTGAGGGAATTGCCACATTTGCTTCCAGTGGCCCATTGTGCGTGTGACTTCACTCCTCTTAACCAATTTAGTAAGATCATTTATTACTTGGACCCCATTAATCTTGAGTAATGTGGGAGTGCTTCTTTGACATACTCACCCACATTATTTACAACAAAATTTATCTATGGTCCTGAGTTTTTTTTTTGTTCGAATATGGTCCAGTGTTTTTTTTTTTTGCCTCATACTCCTAAAACTTCATATATTCATTTTAAAATTTCTTCTTCCATTTTTACAAGTTATTTCTTCAAATTTCACAAATATTCTTTTTCATTCCCTTTTCTCGTAAATAAAGAGAGTGAATTTTTTTCACATGCATTTGGTGATAAAATTTACAACTTACTGTGTGAGCTTGTTGCACAAGTTCTTCAGAATTATACCATCATTTCAAACATTTTGAGCATATATGACCTGTGCCAATAAATACATAGTATGGTCTGCAAATTACACAATTTTACTCAAATTTAAAAAAATGCTTGAAAATTTTCGTTATTGGAAAAAAAAAAAAGGATGTCTGAAGAATTAAAAGACACTCAGTCTAAGGAACCCATGTAACAAAAACACATGACTGGCTATAAATTCCAGGACATACAAATTTTAGTGAAGGCCTTGTAAACCTTCACAGGAAAAAAAAAAAAAAAAAAGAGGCTTTTGAACTTTGATTCTTGGTTGAATTTTAAGGAATAACGTGTAAATGTGAGAGGAAAAATTTTGAATATATTTAAAAATTTTAAAGAATCTGTAGGGAAAAGACACATAAATTGACATGTAAATTTCACATTATGAACCAAGGTTGGAAAAGTATTTATAAATAAAAATATATAATGTAAAATTAAGATATCGCTATATAGATCATTTTCAATGTGTGGAGATAAGAAAGAAGTCTTTGAACTACTTCTTTGTTCTTAATTAAATTAAGAGACTAATTTAAAATTTATTTGTTTATGAAAACTTATTATGGTTTCCCAAAAATTAAAATTGTTGGGCGCCAAATATACTTCATATTGTATATATTATATTGATATTAATTAGACTAATAAATTAACTTAAGTTAATGCCAAATTCAATTTTATATGGACTCAAATTAAATAAATAATATGATAACAACAATTGTTCCTAACTTCATACATTACTTGAGATGAGATACTTTTATACAGACCTTATTTAATCATTACAAAGTAGTGAAACAATTTTTAAAAGGTCCACTTGTTTATAAATGAAAATTCCACTTATAACATTTGAATAAGATTATTCCTTTTATAAATGTATGATATAATAGATTATACATATCTGTAAATTTAGAACTTACTAATTTACTAACTTAGAATTATAGGATGAAAATGACTATAAACATATTTTATAAATTTACCCATGAATAAGTTACATTTTTCACAATCCTCTTTTAAATGTCTAGGCAAAAGACATCATGTACTCCCTTTGGTCCTTACTCTTTATCATAAAGGGTCAATAAGCTAATTCACACATATTAAAAAATAATAGTTATATAGTTAAAAGTATTCCAAAGTATAAAATTTTCCAAACCTACCCTTGTAACAAACTTTGAGGAGCCGAAGTAAAAATATTTACTTGAGTAATAATAATTTATAATTCGGGGTAAATTAGAAAAAAATTCATTAATGACCTTATTAACGTACCCTTTACAATAAGGATCAAAATTTTCTTCTAGATAACCTTTTATAATAAGGGAGTATCAAACAATCTAACTGTAAGAAAAGCAAGTGTCAGAAGCTTTAACTCTACTTTATTTACATGTATTAATTAATAATTATGATGTCATATATATATATATATATATATATTATAATATACGCTTTGTTTGCCTCTACATTTATTGTACGCTTTGCGGCTAGAGAATTATGTGGTCAGAACTGCAATTCTCAAGGTTGTTAAATATGAAAACATCATTATTTTGGAGAGAGAGAACATTTCATGTCACAGTCCACTTGGCCTTTGCAAATTTTTTGGCCAAGAGCTTAAAAAGAGATAATTAAATTGTTATTCATCATATATTACTCAATTTTTAGAGAGTGTTTAGATAAAACCAAACCATGGTTTGGAAATAGCTTCTGAAGAATAGATTTTGGGGAGAATAGATTTTGTGAACAAGTGATTTTGAGAAGTGAGAGTGTTTGGATAGTTTGTTATCAGAAACACTTTTATATATACAAATTACTAAAAAAGCCATAAGTTAATATGATAATTACATAAAAAATAGATTTTATGATATATTTTAATTTGAAGGAATAAAATTGTTAATAATATATTTTTTATCAACATAATTAATATACATAAGATAATATAATTAATAATAATTAGTATGTGTATATTATATATTTATAAGATATAAGATTAAATATGTTTATAAAAAATAATTGAGGGGTGTTAAAATCATTATTGTTGAGATCAAACAATGAGAAAGAGATGAATAATTGAGAAGGGTATATCCGTCTTGGCCAAAAAAAACAACAAGACACATATCCCATAGGCTCTCACACTCTCCCCCTTTTTCTTTCAAAAGCAGAAAATTTTTACTCTTGCCAAAACCATGGTTTTTTTTTTTTTTTATGGTGTTTGGGTGATTTTTCCCCAAACTATGGTTTGGATCATCATCCAAACACCCCCTTAGACTCATTGTCTTAATGATTTCATTATTGTGTTCTTTGTAGGACATTGTTGATCAAGAAAAATTTAGAAGAGAGTGCAATTGCACAAATCAATGTTTCAAATGGGCATTGCCCATGTCACAAGGTAATTGTTTACTCTGTGCATTGTACTAAACTTTTGCTGTGGAATTAGTTAATGGTTAGATTATTGGTCTTGTTTTAAAAAAAATTATTGTGAATTCAATAATAAATTTAAAATTAATTCTTGTTAATATATTTTCACTTTTTCAATGAAGCGTAAACTTCGATGTTTAAGTTCATGCCGATGCGAACGTTGTGGTAGTAGCCATGACAATAAAAATAAGAATTAGGATCAAGCATCACCTAATCCATAGCTTGGCTGGAGCGTGATGAAAATAACAAATGGATGAAGGAAGAGTGGAGAATAATGAGAGCAATTAGGTTGAGATTTTTGTTTTGGAATATTCAAAACTGTATGTTACTCTGACTTAAATAAAAGATTCCAATAAACGAGTGAACCACGAAATTGGGGCATGAAAGAGAGCCTTTTCTTGTCGTTCGCTTAGAGGTTCTCGCTCAAAATTTATCCAAGCTATGCAGTATTGCAAACTCGGGTCGTTCTCTTTTGGGAGCCTAAATTAAATGTCTAAGTTAGATTAATGCTATGTAGAGTAATGAAAAAGGGGTTTTTGGTGTTTTTATCCATTAATGAAATGCTAAAACTAAATGCAATTAATTCAAATCTAAGTGACTATGCTTTTGGATTTTTCTAGATAGTAGTAATGAAGTAAGTTAATGATATGTAATCTCTTGAATATAGCTTTGAAGCAATCATAGTTCAAAATAAGTATGGGAGTAGAAATCACCAAGTTTTCTAATGAAAAACCTTAAAGAACTCTTTAAGTCTAGGATCTTAATCAATGGTACCCATTTCATAAGATCATATTAAGCTAACTTAGTGTGTGTATTAAGATTAATTAATGCACTTGGTTAAATGCAAGCCCAGATCAACTCAACAATCACACATTACCATGCAAGACAGAGAGTATCAAAAGAGTTCATAAAAACATACATGTAACCACATGTATTGAAGCTCAAATCAACACTAATAATCCAATACACAAGACAATCATCCAGAATTGATTACAACCATAATCAAAATAGCTCAGCCCAAATTTACAAATCCTAAGACCTAGAAATTCATAAACAAAGAACTAGAACTTATAGATGAAGCTAACTCCCCTTTGAAGCTTTGTGAACTCATGCTTCTTCCACCATATTCAAGAGTTGAGAAGCTTAG